ACTGGATTCAGCTCCAGTTGGGCTTTTATTAAAATATGCTCTATAACGTGACCTTCAGATTATATATGGATAGCATAGGAAATAGTCAAAAACAGCCATGTACACGATAAAGAAATTGGTTATTTCCTGGAAGATGTTCTTTGCTTTTTTTTCCATGGTCATTTCCTGGCTTTATCAGTTCCTGGTCAGAACTGCAGTCATACAAAGACTTGAGTCCTCATGAAGTGAATTACTTGAGAATTACAGCTAGGATAAGGATGTGGTGTCACTGGTGTAGGTAGCAAAGGGACTTTTCTAATGTACTCATGTCAATTTAACTAAGCTGGGTAATCTTGAAGACCCTGTTTACTGTCAGAGAGAGGGATGTGCTTCCACAAAATGCTCCAAATGTCTCCCAGTATTTGAAAACTATCATTCAATTATCTGTTTTGAAAATATCGTACAGTGTGACAGTTTTTAAAATGTGATTGCATGATGAGACAGATACAAAGCTCTCAGCAATCACAGAAGGCACTTTCATAACACACTAATTCAAAGAGAGTATTTGAAACACACTAGTTTATCAGTTGCTTCTTCATAAAAGTGAAACAGTGGCAGAAATTTAGAATTTGCCATACATAGTGGTTTCTATTTACATTACACTCATACCTGATAATACAGATTATATACAGATGTATATAAACACATTACAAATATGGGAATAAGATTCTTAGTTTTTCACTTATGATACTAGCAAAGGAAAGTCTATGCAGTATAACTTTCTTCTAGATGGTGGATATCTGCAAAATTGTTAATATCCATTTTTCACTTACGATTTAATGGCTCCAAAGGAGCCATTGCAATGTGTAATAGGCAAGCATTAAAAAATAATTTGCAAGATACATCAACAGTAATTGCTTCATGCCATTAAAATAGAGTTTACAGATTTCCTTTTATAATGCCATGACAATGTAAAAAGTTTTAAATCTTTATCTATCTGTCTATACACACGTTTCTCAAGCCTTCTGAAGTATAATTTTATTGAAATAAATAGCATGTCAGTAAACAAGCTTAAGCATGCCACATTATCTTGTCCCAAACTTCCTGCACCAGGAGCTTTCCATTTCACCCCCACCCCATCGCCATAACGCCTCAAACTTTAACTCCTGCTATTCTTTCCTTTCTTACTCACTGGCCTCCTTGTATACTCAAACAACACCAGGAATATTCCAGAGCTAGAACGTTTTCATTTGCACTACCTCCACCTGGAATACTTTTACCCAGACATTCACATGGCTTGTTGGACAATGATCTTATTTATTCAGACGTCATGTAGTGAAGGTTCTTATGGTGTCCTTGGTCTTTAAAAATGCAATCAGACAAAGAAAAATAGCATATGATTTAACTTATATGTAAAGCCACATATGTGTGGAATCTAAAAAACAAAAGAAACAGACAAAACAGAAACAGATTCACAGATTTAGGAAACAAACTTGGTTACTATATGGGTTGGGGTCGGGGGATGGGCAAAGTAAATGGAGAGAATTAAGAGCTACAAACTTCCAGTTATAAAATAAGTAAATCATGGGGATGTAATGTATAGCATAGGGAATATAGTCGATAATATTGTAATTACTCAGTATGGTGACAGATGGTAACTAGACTTGCCATGGGGATCATTTCACAATGTATAAAAATATCGAATCACTATGATGTATACCTGAAACTAATAGGATATTGTACATCAGTTATGCTTAACATTTTAAAAACTGCCATCTACACACAACCTATTCCATTCTCTGCTGTAGTTTTTCTCACCATTATCAATTGCCAACTATATATAAAATTTTCATCTTTTATTATCTGTTTTTTCCCACTAGACTACAACAACATAAACTGCAAAAATTTAGAATTTTTTTTCTCTTTGGTTTTACTAGTGCCTAGATCCATATCTGTTGTGTAATGGATACTCAGTACTGTTTGTCGAATGAATGAATGGGCTATAAAGCAAATATAGAGAAGGTGTTGGCCGGAGGATTGGTACAGAAATGTGTGTGCACAAATGGGTATCGGGTTTAGGGCCAAGCAGTCACTAGGACCAAAATGTTAGTGACTCATCAATATTAACATTATCTGTTAATGTTTTTAAAGTTATTGACAGAGACCATAATGGGTGACCATTTTATTTTACTTGCTTAATTAATGTTTGCCTTTATGAACATCTTTTTGTGTCAATTAACAAGGGGCTTATGATACTTTGAAAAAGGGTCAGAGTAGAATGCTGTTTCATTATGAGTTAAAGAATGGAAGTCATGGAATTACTAAAACACATGTATTTTGTTGCTGTATCAGAGCAGGTGAAGGAAGACAGTTCTGTTCAGGCCAAAGGTGAACGTGGAAAACCATTATCCTTTCCCATGGAAAACGTGTTACTACACGGGCACCGTACTCGAACTTGTTTTAGCAGAGCAAGGTGGAAAGGATTCTAATACAGAGGCACCTTGTAACAGATGAAGGGAAATTATAGTTTAGAACGAAGTGGCTTGTCCAGGGTCTCTGAGGAAGGTCAGAACCAGAACTTGAAGCACAGCGATTTAAGAAATTCCTAGATCAAGTTATTTGTACTCTATTTATGTTTTCTTAATTCATTTTATTCAAATGAATGTATTGACCAGATCTGTTGTGCTGATGACTATTCTAGGCACTGTGCATAGAGCATTGAAAACAACCCCTTTTTACTCCCCTTCTAATGTGGGCGGACAGACATAATGAAAATGTGCAATAAGTTGGCGAGGGATAAATACTATGGAGAAAACAAAGCCGGACAAGGAGATGGGAAGCAGCTGTGGTGGAGGAGGGGCGCAGCAAAGGCGAGGTTGGCTTTGGGGCAGACAACAGGAGGAGGAGGGGTGGCCCCTTCTGCTGTCTAAGGAAAGAACAAGAACACAGGCTCCAAGGAGGGGCTGCCTGGCAGTTTTGAGGGGTGCAGGGAGCTCGGTGTGACTGGAGCCAGGTGAACAAGGGGAAGACTAGGAAGGCAGGAGGGAATGGGCAAGGCAGAGCCAGATTGCGGAGGGCTTTTGGCTGTTTCAACAATTAGTCTACTCTGAGCCAACCTGGTGCCACATGAGGCCTTTGAGCAGAGTATCTGAGTTTGGCGTACATTTGTATAGGCTCAGCTTGGCTGCTGTGTGGAGGTGTGAGAGTGCAGGGGTGGAAGCAGGGGGCGGCTGGAAGGGATTATGTGATGTCAGAGGGAGGAGGTGGGGGTGTTAACCAGAACCGCGGTGGGGAGATGGAGGTCAGGTGCGCCCAGATCCCAAATATAGAAGGTAGAGCCGACAGGGTCCGCTGAGAGGTTGGCTGATGCGTGTAGAAGAGAGGATGTGATGGGGACTCCGAGGCTTCTGTCCCGAGCAGCTGGAAGAATAGAGTTGCCATTTACTGAAATAAGGAAAACTGCATGAAGGACAAGGTCAGAAAGTCTCTTAATCTCTGTCTCTGTCCCCTTGGTAGACTAGATGCTTGAATCTTTGTCCTTATTTCCTGAGATTCAAAATAATGAGTTAGTTGGGGCGCCTGGTGGCTCAGTCGGCTAAGCGTCCGACTTCAGCTCAGGTCATGATCTCACGGTTCATGGTTTTGAGCCCCGCGTCAGACTCTGCACTGACAGCTCAGAGCCTGGAGCCTGTTTCAGATTCTGTGTCTCCCTCTCTCTCTATGCCCCTCCCCTGCTCATGCTTTCTCTCTCTCTCTCAGAAATAAGTAAAACATTAAAAAATTAAAAAAACAAAATAGTTACCTGGCATATTCCACATTTGAACATTTGATTGTGATGAGCTCCCGGAATTAAAGACACCTGATGTATTTTATGCCATTGCAGGAGATTCTTAGTGATGTTAAAATCCTCCTTCTCTGTTCCGGGGGGGCTTTGAGCTGCCCTCCATTTCCAGAGCTTGTTTGTTTCTATGTGACATTACGTTCCAGGCTTATTTTGTACATTTCCAGCCCTAGAATCAGTCACTTCACCGGCAGCCCAGTTTTCTCTTAATGAAAAACCCTATTGAATGATGACAATCTGGTGCCACAGGTTGTCCTTGTTTGGGGCCTTTTCCAGTGGTCAAAGCTAAGACATAGGTCTCCATTTTTAAAAAAGAAAAATTGTGGGTTCATAGTGATGCTTCTAATTCAAATTCAGGGGTATACAGGGTTATATTTTAACCTCATCAATCTTCTGTTTGCTTCTCCTTTTCACACATTGAAAATTTCAGGGTCCAAAACATAAAGGGAATTACTGATTTGTATTGTTGCCCAGGTGTAGATCATTTCAATAACCAGACGCAGGATCCAATTTTACCTGAAAGATCAGGGTGAAAAGAACATTTGTGGACAAGATGAGGGTGCATATTCTGATTAGAGCAAACGGCATCTACAAAGATTGCGAGGCTTGAGAGAGCACAGTTCATTTCAGAAAGAGCAGATACAGTTGTATCAGAGGCATGACGGGTTAGAGTCAGGAAGGATTGGGAACAAAATGGACTACACAATCACTGCTGTGGATGTTAGCATCCACCAGAGACACAAGCTGTCGGTTTTGTGTGTTCAGGAGGCACCTTGCATTTGTTTTTAATAAGAAATATTTCTGGGCACCTGGTGGCTCAGTTGAGCGGCCGATTTCAGCTCAAGTCATGATCTCACAGTTTGTGAGTTCGAGCCCCGCATCCGGCTCACTGCTGTCAGTGCAGAGCCCACCTCGGTTCCTCTGTCCCCCTCTCTCTCTGCCTCTCCTCTGCTCATGCTCGTGCTCTCTCTCCCTCTCTCAAAAATGAATAAACATTAAAAAAAAAGATTTTTTCCCGTCTGTATATAGAAGCGGCACTTCTAGGATAGAATTTTAAGGACCGCTGTCCTCAACTCTGTTCTATATCGATTCAGGGAAAGTGGAGCTCAATTACCTTCTGCCATTTGAAGAAGTATTTGCATACTAACGACTCATTGTCGTGGTCTTTTTCTCCCCACAGAGGACAAAGTGTGGACCATAGTGTCTCACGATTTGCAGATGCAGACCACGGTGGTGGGCTACAGCCCAGAAAAATACTCCGTGACACAGCTCGTTTACAGCGCCTCCATGGACCAGATCAGCGCCGTCACCAGCAGCGCCGAGCATTGCGAGCAGTACGTCTCCTATTTCTGCAAGATGTCCAGGTTGTTGAACACCCCAGGTAGGCCGGGAATGGAGTGTTACTTTTAATTACTCTCTCAGCTGGTGCTTAGAATCGCTGAAACAATCCAACAAGTGTGACTTATTCTCTTACCATCCAGTCTCCAAAGTTCAGGCAGCTGCGAACAAAGTAAACTATCTCATGGTTTGGTTTCTGGGGAATGAAGCTAAGAAAGTACGATTTTAAGGGGGAAAAATGCCCTTGTTTTCAACGTGCAGGGGTTTCCCATTTGATCTGCATATATACGTGTGTGAGTGTTTCTAGTGCTTAATTATCGGTCGTCCCTTTGGGCAAAAGCGTATCAAGAGCCTCGTGTGAACTTTCAAGTAATGCCCTGGGAGTTCAGTTGCCTTTAACGAAAAGCCGAAAGCATTCTGAAGGCTGCGCAGGTAAATAGCGTGTAGCAGAGAGAATTAGAGCCCTTTGTTGTTTGCAGTCATTTAACAGTATCCGTTTGCCTCAAGAAGTTCGACCTGATTTTTAGGTGTGTGATGGTTTACTTTTAGTGATGCTTCAGAATGTGTGTGTGTGTGTGTGTGTGTGTGTGAGTGCGCGCGCGCGCGCGCATGTTAAGGGCATAAAAAATAGTTTCCAAAGGATGCACTAGAAATAGAGACCCATGTGCTTTGGGGTTCTTGGCAGCAAATACAAGATGTTGACAGAAAACTAAATCCCTCCGTCTATAGTATAACAGCAGAAATAAAGCACGTGCTCTGAGTCAGAGAAACAAATGTTCACACTTTTCAGCCTTGGCACTCTTCACGTATGTGACTTTGGTGGAGTTAATCGAACTCTTAAGCCTCAGATTCTAGTGTCTTTTTCATTCACATAGGAATCGTAATGCCTATTGCAGGTGAGTGAGAATTTAATAAGGTCATGTACTAAATGTTCACTGTAGGGTTCGATCCACTTAAGGACTTCATAAACAGCAAATAGTGTATTGATTATTTTTAATAGTAAGCATTAGAAGTGGTATCATGCCACATCACAGACCCATGGGCTCTTTGGTGCCCCAAATCAGTGTTGGATTAGAGGCAATATTGTGTGGAATAGCTTACAAAGAAGAATAATACTAAAACATTATACAGTATTTTAAAGATTTGCATGTATTTTATGTGCAAAGCCTTGTGCTGAAATCATAGACAAGTGTAACCTGCAGAATCCAAAAGTAAAATCTAGGAGCACCTGGGTGGCTCAGTCGGTTAAGCATCTGACTCTTTATTTTGGCTCAAGTCATGATCTCACAGTTTGTGAGTTCGAGCCCCACATTGGGGCTTGGGAGCCTGCTTGGGAGTCTCTTTCTCTTTTCTGCCCCTCTCCCTCCCTCTCTCTCTCTCAAAATAAATAAATAAAAATTAACTTTAAAAGTAAAATCTTTTTAAAAAGTACATTGTGGACACAATCGGTTCAGACAATTAGTGCTTCTGCTGTTTGAAGAAAGAAGAGATGATTGTGGCTGAGGTTTCGAGGCAGTGCTCAGAGGCAAAAGAACAATTTGAAGACACTGAAGGAGATTAAGCAAAAGACTAGTTTCTAGTCAGTTTTTAAGCAGTACTTCAGTTACATTTCCAATAAGCGCAACACCCCAAATCAAAATCAAGAGTTAATTGTGAATCTGCACAATAGCAGACTATTTTCTTGTGATTCCAGACATTATGTTTCCAGACATTTGTAGATGATTATTGTACTTAATAGATTATGCTCTGAAAATAAGTTCATCATATATCATATGCTGCTTGCCTTTGAAGATATGTGTCTATATGTGTACTTATAATGTATATACATAATTTATATAAAATATATACATATATAATTTTTAACCACATGAAAATATGTGAGTATATAATTTTAACTATTAACTCATCCTACCTTTGGGCAGTTGGTTTAAACACACGTGTGCCTCAGAATTCTCGGGTTAGTCAAAATGCTGATTAATTGGCCGTATTCCTGGAACTCTCATTCAATAGAACTTGGTTGGGACCCACTAATGTTTGCTTTCAAAAAACATCCAAGGGTAGTTCTGTGAACCATACACTAAGAACTACTGTCTTTAATTTAAAGCATGAAGGTCTCTCATGTTAGACTTAAAGGTTTCAGTACTTCATGTTGGAGAAGATTAAAGGAAATATTCGAACTTGTCTGGTCAACTAAAAGAAAAAGGCATATATAATTTCATGCTCCTACAGCTAAACTAAACTGGTGCTGTAGTATTTTTTAATCCTTTTCGTAGACCAGTCTCTAAATGTTATACAGTGAATTTCACCCCACCGTTCTTTTTCTTTTTCGTTTTTTATGTTATATTTACTTTTGAGAGAGAGGGGGAGACAGTGTGAGCAGGGAGGGACAGAAAGAGGGAGACACTGAACTCAAAGACGGGCTCCAGGCTCTGAGCTAGCTGTCACCACAGAGCCCAACACAGGGCTTGAACTCATGAACCATGGGATCATGACCTGAGCCAAAGTCAGATGCTTAACCGACTGAGCCACCCAGGCACCCCATTTCAGCCCACCCTTCTGAGTCATTCTTCATACTCCCAGTTTCTGCTTTCCAGGCTAGCTAATCTATAGAACACTTGAAGGAAGGAAAGAGAGTAGTTGGGGTAGCAAGTGGTTCCATAGAATCGTATTCTATATATGTCCAAATAAGAAAGAATACAATTTAATAAAAATCTTTAATTTGCTGTTTTAAGGAGCTAATGTTTGCTGTAATTGGGTTTTTTTTCTCCTTCCTGGTAACATTCAATTTTAAATATCCATTTACTCGTTCTTAACTAAGACTGAATTATATTGGAACTTCTGTAGTAGTACTTGTGACATCTGTTTGAATATAAAGTATATTCATTATAGTCATGGCAATTAAAATGAATATCAAATGAGTTTGTAATAGCTCTGTACTTAAAATGTTATTCTTTAAGAGCCTTACCCTCAAGAGTTCATTTGGGGCTCTATAGTTTCTAATGATACTTATGATAAAGAGTTGATTTTGTATGCATATGGATCTCATTTTTATTTTGATAAATGTTCAGTTGTACCATACCATTAGCTAACAAATGTAGAATAACTCATTATTGGTTTCTTGCAACTTTACAAGGGTTGTAATATATTTCTTGCAATGTTATCTCTTCTCTTTATTATGACAAAATTTAAAAATGGAATCAATTTTACAGTAACGATTTTGCCATTTTTATGGTCATATCTATTATTGCCATGTAACTATTCATTTGTCCTCAGTCAGCTTTATAAAAGACATAGAAACAAGACAATGTTACTTTATCCCATAGAGGAGCCTGTTTGGAGTGAGGCATACCAATTTGGGAATAAACAAATTCTACCTAAACGAAACCATTAATGGTATCAAAAACCAAAAGGGTATTAACATGTTTTATATTTATATACCCAGAACTGCAAATGTAGTAATATCTGAACTTCTGAAAGGCAGAAATTATTAAACAATGAAATCTACTTCTGAAATAAATACCTTAAGAAGCTGGATTTGGTAAGCTACATACCAAGAGAGAGTTTCGTTGCATCCCACTTGAGAAATGCCTTAGTCAACAATCCTAATACTTTTAGATAAAATATCTCCCTATATTTGGACAAAGACCTATTATCCTGCTTTTAAAATTCTTATTTTCCTATTTTAGATGCACTGTAGTCCTACATTTATTTTACAAAACATTATACTTCCTAATTAAGAAATTTTTTGGTGAGGTATCTATTCCTTACATCTATAAAGATTATTTAATTGTAGAGGTATAAAGTTGATATGATTCCTATTTCTCTGACTATATTTAGTGTTGTTTTCTTTGGTTTCCAGTGTTTCATTTCTTTTAATTTCTCAATGTAGTCTTATTTTATTCTCAGAAGTCATAGTTTTATTGCTTCTTTTGTTGAAAGGAGCAATATAAATTACCCATGCTTTTGCATAGTTTACTATTAAATTTTGTATCTATTTAAAAGGACTTATGTTCACAACTTTTGCCTATAAAGTAAGCTGTGTAAAATTCAATATACTTTGATTATACTAAACTGTGATTTAGTGGCATCCACAGGACAAGAAAACATGACTCTGATATTATAACTTATAACCTATTTTTAGAAGAAATATCAACTTTCGTGAAGTTAAGAAAGTTAATTGTCCAACCTGGTGCTATGCATTGTAAGAAACCATGATGTTTAACTATTGAAACAACATAGATAAAAACATTGCTTGGTTGTCACTAAAGATTAGCAGTTTCATTATGTCTATTTAGTATATTAATCCAAATATTAATCATTTATCTAATTGTCTAAATAATTGTACTAAAACTGAAGGGTTTAATGGAGCAAGCAAGTAAGGTAGAAATAACTAAAAAGTAAACATAGAGAATTAAATCTAGTAATATTGCACCTCCCAGCAACTAGACTAGCCATAGAAGACACTGTAGTTAAAAGGGACAGAATGGTCATATGGAAAATAGTTAGAGGCTATTTCAACAGTGTGGATAGGAGTTGATGAAAGCCTCAGCTGAAATAATGGATGAGATCAATAGTCCATGGATATTTATTGTTTCTTGCATATCAGGAATTGTGACATGTTAGCTGACATGTAGATGCATATGAGTTAACTAAGAAAATAAATGGAAGGGAGAATTCTAGGTCAGAGATATCAGAATGTGCAGTGATTCTAAGATGGAAGTCAAGGGACATGTACTTGGAAAGAAATGAGAATGGCTGGAGTAGAGACATTGATGGTGAGAGAGAGATAGAGAGGAATATGAAGGAGAGCCACTGCATGACCTTAAGGATTCCACTCAAATGGCCAAGGGAATGGTTTTAAGTGGGGGATTCCAGCTGTTACATGGAGAATAGCATGGAGGGAGGGCCAGGTTTGCAGAAGAAGAGCCTCCTGCACAGTGCCACTTGAGTATGGATGAGACTGGATGTCTGAGAGACTCCCTGGGCATTAAGAGGGAAGACTTTTTTTAAAGTGTAGGTAGTAGAATCAACATGAGTCAGGAT